TTTTTTTTAAATTCAGAATGTTAATTTTTTTTTTATTGAATCACCGAGAGATAGTTACAAAGATTTCCAGTTTGAGTTTTAGTTATACAATGATCAATCACCAGTGCACATCTTCCACCACCAATGTTCCTAGTATCCCTACCCACCCCACCCCTCTCCCTTGCCTCTATGGCAATCTCCCCCATACTCTTTTGTATTGCTTATTATGAATAGTAGAAGAAGTCACGTGGCTGCAAGAGCGGCCGCGTACTCCTGGATTCTAAAATTTTAGAAAATTAAGGTCTGGAGAAATCTCTGCGGCGAGCTGCTCGGTTCAGAGATTCTTTCGTGTAGCTCTAGATCATGGCTGTTAAGGAGCTTAAGTAGCAACTTGGGACAGTTTGTGGGCATGACCTCCAGGGTCCCATGGGGAAGGTGGGTGGGGAATGAGAGGGACCTGCCCAACCCCTATCCCTCGAGGCCTGGAGTTTGCCCTCACTAGACCCATGTTCCTGCATTCCTGCACTTCTCACTGGGTTCTGGGAGTTGGCAGCCACCGCGGTTTTCAGAGGACAGGTGGAGGGCTGCCTCCCCACCCACTTGAGACACCCCAGTGAAGTCAGTCTGGCTTAAAGTTCGGGGGCATCTCTGCAGCAAGCTGCTTTGTTTGGAGACTGTGTGTTTTGAATCATAGCCATTAAGGAGCTTAAGTAGCATCTGCTTATTTCTTAATGTTTATAAATCTAATTTGCACAAGTCACCTTAATGAAGCTTCTCTTTGGACTGAGTTCTTAGTTTCCCTGGGGTCCCCCTGTGACCTTTTCTACATTGATTCTTTTGATATCACTGTCTTTTTCCCTGATGTCACAGCAAAGACACATGGATTCACAAAGATCTCTTTGCACAGAAGATTGTTCTTCTCAATTCATCCATTGAGGCCGGAGTGGAACAGGGGATAGGGAGCTTGCTTTGCATATAGCCGACTTGGGCTTGATCTCCCAACACTTGGGGAGGGTCTCCTGAGCCTTGCCAGAAGTGATCCCTGTGCACTGCCAGGTGTGCCACTCCCACCCCCAAATAAAAAACTCCTCAAACTCAACAATTATCTTTGCTATCAGTTCTCCACCTTCAGGTTTAACACGTTGGTCAAGTCACTTTATCTACCCTGCATCTACCCTCAGCCTAATATTGTCTTTAAAATGCTCATGGTTGGGGCCGGAGCGATAGCACAGTGGGTAGGGTGCTTGCCTTGCATGCGGCTGACCTGGGTTCGATCCCTGACATCCCATATGGTCCCCCAAGCACCGCCAGGAGTAATTCCTGAGTGCAGAGCCAGGAGTAACCCCTGTGCATTGCCAGTTGTGACCCAAAAGGCAAAAAAAAAAAAAGCTCATGGTACTTGTGGTGGTTTATGATGACCATTCTTCAAGGTTCTCTAATACTCCTCTTGAGAATTCCAAGTGTGCCCTGAATGACATTTCAGAGAATAGGGCAGAAGTGATCATATTTGACTCCAGGCTACTCAGGACAAGGTTTCCTAGTTGCTCCCTTCTGGCCAGCTCATTCCGGTGTAAACTGCCGTTCTGAGGACACTCCAGCAGGATTGCAAAGAGGAAAAGAAGATGAGAATCAGGTTCTCTACCAACAGTTAGCAGGAGACAAGGCCTTTAACCACCGTAGCATGAGTCTTCCTGGAAGATTACAGATGCCTGCAGCTCCGGGCACCTGGCCTCTCCATCAGAGCCTGCTAACCAGCACTTACTGATCACAGAAACCAGGTTCCATTTGTTGTTTTATGTAGCTAAGTTTGGGGGTAATTTCTTGTGTAGCAATCCATACCAATACTGGATCCAGTACTGAACTCCAAGGAACAGAAGTGGCAAAGGGAATTCAACATAGAATGAAAACTTTTTCCCACTCTAACCACAGCCTCATCTTCATGAGAAAACACCATCCTTTACCTGCATCCTGAGTGAGAAGGCTGAAACAATTTTTTACTCTGCCTAACAATCCCATTACTGATATTTCCTTCTGGGCACTGCAACCTAATCTGACTCTTATGTCTTTAATTCAGGGCCTTGGGATTGTATAGTACAGGGTTAAGATTTATGCCTTGCATGTGGCAGACCCAAGTTCAATCGCTGGCACCATATGGTTCTGGGAGCATATCTAGGTGTGGTCCTAGAGGTCCAGAGCATCTGGAAATACCAGGTTCGAGCAGAATCACATTCTCAGGCCCTTACATTCAACTTCCTGCCTGGTTGGCTGAGAATCTCTGACAGGGGCCATAGGGCCTACTGAGCATTGATTAGAAGTCACCCCTATCCCTCCAAAACTCAGGGCATTTAACTTTTTTGAATAATACATTTGTTACAAAATTATTTTTAAATTGTTTCCCAAATGCAGTAAAATTAGCTGCATTTAAAAATGGAGTCTCAGCGTACAGCAGGTAAGGTACTTGCCTTGTACACGGTCAACCTGTGTTTGATCCCTAACACCACATATGGCTGGTCCCCTGACCACCACCAGGAGTTATCCTGAGCTCACAGCCAGGCATAAGCCCTGAAGACCATTGGGTATCAACAACAATAATAACAACAACAACAAATTAAAAAAACCAACCTAAATCAGCTGGCTAGATGACATTCTGGGGTGCTACACCCAGCAAGTGCTCGGGGTATACTACAGGCTCATGCTCAGAGGCTGCACCGGCACCAGAGGATCATGGGTGTCGGGGATCAAATTAGGGGGTGCTCACATGCCTGCTGACCTACTCTATGTAGCCCTGTGCCAACTTTCTCACTCATCACATGTATCAGAATTGTCCTGCCCAGGAATGTGAGCTCCTAGAGAGATAAAAAAAACTCTTTTAAACTTTGATAGACATCCAGTTACACATTCCACTTAAATCCACAAAGAAATCAGATGCAATGTCAAGCATCTGTGACACAATGGTGAACACAACACCTGCACCCCCATCCGTGAAATTCATGTTCTCTCTATAGCCAACAAACAAATAATATACAGCACACGGATTCATCCGAACGCTTTCTGAATTCAGGATTGTCCCAGAACATGAATGCTCAGATCACAATGTCCCCGAGAAGACAGTAACTGGCTCAGGTTCACCGCAGGCTCTGCACTGAGCTGCTATCTGTGGTGGGGGTGGCATGCATACATGGTAGCGTTGGGGTTCCTGCATGCAAAATGTGTGCTCTAGCCCCATAAACATCTTCTACCCAAGTATATTTTTAAGAGGGTGTGTGTGTGTGTGGGCGGGGGGGAGACCACATCCATAGGTGTTCAGTACCATGCTTAGACATCACTCCTGGAGGGCTCAGGGAACGATAAGGGATACTGGGATCAAACCGAAGTCAGTCACGTGCAAGGCTGTCTTATCTCTCTGGTCCTATATCTGTTTTCTTAAGACACAACTTTGCTCCGGTTGTCAGTGTTACTGTGATACTTAGACATCGTCAGGTTTTAAAACCAGTAAAGGATCTTAAGACATGATTAAATATGCTAAAAAAAAAAAAGGCTTGATAATCGGTAGCTGAAAAATGAATACCAGCTTTGTGCATGGAATAAGAGTGTGAGTTCCTCAAATAATGACTAAAACAAGTACAAAAATAAATTCATAAGATTACACATTTAATAAAGACATCAAGAAAATAAAAAGGTCAACTTTCTCTAGAATTCATGCTTAAAGCAGTTGTCTAGGTTTTTTTTTTTTTTTAAATAAGAAGCAAATTCCAGGCATTTTGGCCTTTCCTTTGCTGCCAAATGATTCACAACCAAAATATTTCTGATATGTGGGTAATACGACAGTTTAAAAAAAAAGCAGTCCATAAAAAGGCTCAGTACTTTATTTTTAACTTCACTTTGGGGAAGAAGGGTGGATGTTTGGGTCACATCCTGCAGTACTCAGGGTTTATTCTTGGCTATGTTCAAGTGCTTGAGGGACGTTTTGCAGTCCCAGGGATAAAACCAGGGCTGGCTGCATATAAGGCAAATACCTTAATCTCTGTGCTATTTCTCTAGCTCCAAACCTCGGTATTTTAAAAAGGGAATCATAAGGTGAAAAACAATTTTATATTCAACTACACGAGAAATTTTATCATAACTCACAAATATTTTATAATTGACACCTCTCCCAATCAAAATACTCAATTTTCACTCTGAGAGTTGAGATTTTTAGGATTTCTAACATTAATACAAAACACATAAATCGTCCCCCAAATAAACAAAACTGTCTTAGTTCCAAAACTGTGCTTCACAAAGGATGTGCACATTTCTGAACATGTATGTTCTGAAGACCAGGAAAACGGGGTTGGGAGAAAGCTCCAAGGGCCAGGGCACAGGCCTTGCCTGAGGAAGTCTTGGGCATGACTTCAGGCACAACCCTCTACCACCACCCATATCTCGCCTCACCCTGCAATGTTGGGAGTGACCCCAAGCACTGAGTCATGTTTTGGTGGTGCCAAAAAACCAAATGAAAAAGCTGCAAAATAAAGAAAAGGAAATCAAAAATGAACCTACACCTTTAAAAGTTCAAACTGGCTACTGTAATACCAGTTGGTAACATTCTTCTTCAGACTCATCTCTGAAGTTTTCAGGACTTCAAATTGGTACAGATTGGTACAGACAAGGACACGGAATAATCACTTATATTTAGCTGAAATAATGTTATTTTTCAGAAAAAAAAAACTCATCTTCCTATTTTTAGGAATGTATTTCAAATTTGAGCTAAGATTTATACCGCTAGAAAAAGACACTGGTCACCAAATCTAAGTCCCTTAAGAATATCTATTAAAAAAATAATTGATGAATACCCCCAGAGAACCTGCAAAGCCATGACTTCGTGCAGACCCTGCCTGGTGGTGCTGTGGGGTGTGCCTTGCAAGGGCTGGACCCAGGCCGTCCCCCACCACTTCAGAGCTCTTACTTCCGCCCCATTAAGGTGTTACAGATGAAGGCAGTTTTTCACCTCTTCGCTTTGGCAATAGAATTTCACCACAGACTTGAAGATATTAGTTTTATTAACAGGCAACAATGATCATGTTAAAGTAGCATATAAAAACTTGCCACAATGGTTCATAAACAAGGTTTATATTGCTCAAAATCATCTCTCTGAGGGAAGATCTTTACCTTTGGAACCAATCTCAATAGACTCGAGACATAATTCAACTTATTAACATAATATATAATGATAAATATAGCTCTTGAAAAAAGCAAATTATTTTCCTATTAACCATTTTTGTAAAAGATCAACTATAAAAATATTTTCTCCTTATAAATTTCCCTGCCATGATAATGTTAAACCTAGATTCTTTCTCCTCAAACACTGAGTGTTAAAAGCACACATTGCATTTCGAGAGAAACATTCCTTTGCAGCCAACATGCTTTTTTCAAGGCACTCTCAGGAGTCAAAGACACTAAATTATTCCCCTTGTCTACTGATCTTTCAGGCACATTTCCCTCAAACTTTCCCAAAGTGAACACTGTTACACTGCTTCTTCTTCGCTTTACATGGTGGAGTTCTTAAGTCGTCTTTCTTTTTCTGGGAGCTGCTCCTTCCTTTTCAGCTGGCCGAGAAAGCAGGCTTTTGGTTCCCATGGAAACTGGATTCCTGCGGCGACGTGCGGGGACTCTTGTCCCACCAACCTACAGGTGAAGCAAGGAACAGAACAGTTTAACATGCTTCCAACAAACTTCTAAACAGCTAAGTGCATTATTTTCACAGGTGCTAATTTCTCTGTGAATGTGCCTTTATATATTTTTAATCTCCAGGTCTCTGGCTATATCAAAACACACTTTTTAAATCCTCACAGTTTTAAAGTACTAAACTTTAGGAAGGAAATAGATTAGGACAGACAGAGACAGGGGAACCACTCTCTGGGCAACATTAGGAGGAGGTTGAAAGGTTAAATTTGAAAGTGAAGGAACTGTGGGTTTTTGGAGAGTATGTTTACATTAAGGACACAAGAAACAGAAGAAAAATATAAAGGGAGTGAAAGAAACACATGAAGATCAAGAACTGGTAAAAAGGGGAGAAGAAATTACATAACGAAGAAAGCAAGAGTAAGGGAAAAAGGTCCAAAAGAGCAAGGGAAAAAAAGTCCAGTAAACGTGAAAGGACAGGAAAAATGTGAAAAGCACCCAGCCTGGAAGGAAAACTGCGAGTCAGAAAGAATTTCAGTAACAGGAGGAGGGAGAAAGAGGCCGCCACAGTGGGCGGAAGGGCGGTTGAGAGACTGCTGGCGCCGCGGTACCTTCGATCTACTTTTCCTCACTGGGCGCTGCTGCTGGCCTCGCCTTCAGGCTCCCCGTCTGAGGAAGAAGAAGATGCACTTTCAGAACACAGCCCTTCCTGCTAATGCAGTCGCAGTCGTGGTGAAGATGAGATCTGGAAAATGTCATGCCCTTGGTTCTGAGAGTACATCAAGTTCTAAAATGAGGACATCGAGAAACCTGGGCGCTGAAGGGGAAGACCAATGCTGCAGAGCCTGAAACCATCCCCCAGAGACCATCCCTCTGGGCTTCTCCTCCCTTCCTGCTTCACACCCTTAGTTTCTTCACAGCTGATTGGTCTAGGGAAGGGACAGGTGACACCCCCAGTCCTAACGCAACACAGACACTACTTATGCTGCTCCAAGGGCGATCAGCTCACTAAGAATGAAGCAGAATCAAGTTCTGCTCACGCCATATCTTCTCTCTGCAGAGGTTTTCTGGTTGACAATCAGATGACTAGAAGGACAAACTTAGTTGGGACTTGACTCTACCAGTTTTAATCTGATGAGCTTTTAGGACATACTGATCACGGTAACCTGGTTTTTGGATTAACCACTCTCTGCTCAGCTGTTGTTTAACAGAAAAAGTATACTGACCACATAATTTGTTTGCTTTGGGGTGACATCCAGTGATGCGGGGTGGTGGGAGCTTTCTGACTGTGCTGGGGATTCATGGTGCTCTAGGGATCAGCTGGTTCCAGGGGATCAAACTGGGATCAGCTGCCCACAGGGCAAGTCATCTATCCCTGGACTCGGCAAGCCACGAGCCAAACTCATTTCATCTACGTCAATGAGCAAAGCAAGCATTTTCAAACTCCATTGAAGACACAGATGTCTATTACAGGCCCTGTAGAAGGAGGAAAGGAAGATGCAGAGAGCTGCTGCAAGAGGATAGATGGGGAGTAGGAGTGCCAGAGAGACAGTAGGTCCCCAGCATCCGTGGGACGGAGGCAGTAAGGGGCAGAGAGATGCAGGTTCAATGGGTTACCACACAGGCTCAGAGCCTTGGAAAGATCTGAGTTCAAGTGGATTAGGAACAAATATTCTTATCAGAGGCAGAAGCTTTGGCTGTATTAAGTTTTCACATGTGAAATGAGATAATTTCTGTTTCCCAACAGGCTTCCTTGGAGTTCCTGTCTTCTCCCACTGCTGCTAGGGATAGAATCCCTATCTGTGTTTAGCCTGCTTGGACTACAAATTCCTTGACCCGTGGCTTGTCTAAGAGAAAGGAAGGGAGAAAGGTGGGTATTAATTCCCATCAAATGTTAGTCTAAATTATAGCAAGATATGAACCAAAAAACTTCCATGGGTTTGAAAACACATCAGACCATGAATTACTCATATAATTGAGCACTAGGGTATACAAATTATAAATGTTTCAGGAAAAAACAATTTAAAAAAGAACTCAGATAATAATTTCAACTCAACAAAGTTTGGCAACAGGAGCAAGAAAGTACATGGGATTTTGATCCCTGAACATTTAGATTCATTTAGAGAGAATAAAACTTTTCTTACAACTGAACTTAAATTGTATATTTTTCCTTTTTGTGGTGTGGGGATCAAACTTGGGTACTAGGCTTGCAAGGCGAAGGTAAAGCTTCACCATTGAGTTCCATCCATATCCTTTAAATTACAATTTTTCAAATAATGTAAAGAAAGACTGAAATGGAGAAAAATATTTCTAGCCATAAGTTTTATAAAAGTTCCAGATAAATGTCATTCAACCATTATTTCTGGATTCTATAGAGTAACATGAATAATTCAATAAACACTGAGTCACAGAATACTTAGCAAAACACAATTTAGTCTTTGAACATTTTATTGCCTTTTAATAAGGCACTGCATTCTCTAATTAGTAATGCTTGCTTTCTTATTTTTACACATCCTACTTACAATCCTAATTGTATCATTTATTGGGATTTTTCTTGGGGGGGAGAGTGGGGGTGGGAATACCTAGTGATGGTCAGGGGTTACTCCTGGCTCCACACACAGGAATCACTCCTGGGAGTTGAGGAGGAATCGCTCAGGGGACCAGATGGGATGTTGGGGATCGAATCTGGTTGGCGGCATGCAAAGTGAGTGTCTTACCTGCTGTGCTATCACTCCAGTTCCCTGTATTATTTATTATATACTATTATGCATATTATCTCAAATAGTTAATGAAATGAAACAGTACACATGCACATAAAATTACTGAGGAAGTTAATTCTGCTTTCCACAGGTACACAGATACCTCACTATGGGATGCCTTACCCATGTCTCCAGACTAGGAAAGCTAAAAGATTCTTTAGTTTTTTTGACTTACAAACCTTGCCAAAACGCAAAGTCCCACAGAAACAGCACCAGGACTCAGCAGAGCACAGAACTTGGTCTACCCTTCTCATCGACAGACAGCTTAGAACGGTACTGAGTAATCTGGGGAACACAGTTCACTGTCTAATAGACACACATCACATGTTTCACAGTGAGTGAAACAGGCTAAGAGCAAATACATACCAGAGAATTTACTGACAACACCAGCTCACCTTCTGCTGTGCTGCGGGCTCCAGCGACCTGGGGGGGAACGTGCAAGGGATGCGCCCGTGGAAGACATGGTAGGGCAGCAGAAGGCTGGGGTCCAGGGGCACCCAGGGCACCGAGAGGCTGGAGGGCGCCCCCGGAAGGCTGCAGTGAGTCTTGTGTAGATTGTAAGCAGTCCGTGTGAGCTTCCCATCAGACGTCTTGTAGATCAGGAGTGAGGAATCTTCAGCTGCGTGAGACAGCAAGTAGGAGCCCTCCTGCAAGCTAGAGCCACACAGTGAGCCTCAGTTTCCAATGGCTGAGCCCTTTCAACAGCATTTCCTTAAGCATGATCTATCAACAAAGTTGAAAACAATGACTGGAATTGGTTTTATGGGGACAATTACGGAAGGCCACCTCTAAAAATACTTTTTAACTGAGTAAGATTAAAGCGATCTTTTCTATTACAAATACTAAGAATAATTTTAATTCTTACTAGAAAGTTCAGGTTAGGATTTTACACTCCTCTTGCTCAAAAATAAGGAGAACAGCAATCCCTTCCTAGAGTATAACATTAAAATATACAATTATTTGTTTTACTTTTTTATCAGTCTATTTTTTTTTAAGTGACGCAGACATTTTTATTAAAAAAGATTCACTTAGAGAAATGCAAAGAGAGAAAGTATTCAGGGAAGAACACAGACTTCTCTGGAGGGGAAAAAGCCTGTATCCATCTATTTGTAAGTTTTAAACAAAAAAATTTGTTGTTGTTTTTTGGGTCACACACTATGGTGCGCATGGCTTACTCCTGGTTCTGTGCTCGGGAAACAATATGAGACTGAATCTGGGCGAGCAGCTTGCAAGGCAAAAGCTCTACTCATTGCATCATCTCTCCAGCCTCCTAAGTTTTTAATCATTTAATGGGAAACAAATAGTTTGCCTAATTCTCTAACCCACAGACAGCATACGCCAAAAGGTATTTTGTCATGTACATACCTAGCATTTCTAAATAAGGAATTTAAACACATTCAACAAACACACAAACTATATTGCATCCAAAATAGCACGGTAAAGATACAGGAAAGAATGTTATATTTACTACTCAAGAAGAGGGGGATAAAAATGGAACAATAGCAGTACCATAAGAGGGGTTGTAAGAGCAAGAGCGACAGTAACAAGAGATAAGCATGGAATGTTTATGTATTTTTTCTTTCTCCCAAAGAAGCTTTTAAGGAATTCCATGTATTAACAAGGGTTAAATAGGTATTTTAACATGCTTTATATCCTCTTAGTAGTTTATATTCCTCTAAGCTCAAAAATAAGGAGAATATCAACCCTTTCCTAAAATATATCATTAAAGTAAGTATTGAAGTTCAGTTACATGGATATGCCTACAAATCTGCAAGTTTAATTTTCATTAAATTTTTAAGATGAAAATTAATAGGTGTTCATAAGGCAGGTTCAGATAATTTTTTTTTTCCTTTTGTTTTATTTTGCCACACCTGGTGGTACTCAAGGATTACTCCTGGCTCTGCACTCAGGAATCATTCCAGGCGGGCTCAGGCTTGGGGAACTGTATGGGATTGGATGCCGGGGATCGAACCCAGGTTGGCTGTTTCCATGGCAAATGCCGTACCCACTGTAGGTGCTGCCCTGGGAATTATTCTTTTGCTCTGGAATTTTCCCCACAATCCTATACTTTCATGTAAAGAATGATTGGTTTGGTATGAATAATAAAAAAAAAGGAATAAAAGTACTTATATAAATGGGGACTGGAGAGACAGCTCAATGTACTGGAGCACGTGCTTGGATGTGAGGCCGGGATCCTACCCTCAAGAGAGCACGAGGTGAGAGCAGTGCCGGGAGCAACCTGAGTGCCACAAGGAGTGGCCCCGTTCCACAAATCAATCTCTGGATCTGTGAGTCACATCCCAGGGTGCCCAGAGGACCGTAAGATATTGAGACTTAGCTTAGGCCGCCTGCATGTCAGCCCACTGAGCTCTCTCCAGTCCGTATGTCCCCTTCCATGGGTTTGCAAACGTGATTAAGGACACAGGGTGACAACGGGAGGAGAGACCTGAATGAGACACAATGAAGAATCAAAGACAGAAGCCACTCGTTCCAGAAGGGGGCATACTGGCATTTTCAGTGCAGGACAATGATTTGTGAGTGATATGTGTTTATTTATTTACCTCTCCTGGCCACACCCAGCGATCCTCGGAAGCGACTTCTATCTTACAACTTGGGAAGGGGCCACTGCTGGCTGTACTCAGGGGATGAAGAAGTACTGAGATTGATCTCAGACCCTCTGCACACAAGGCATGTGCTGAACTTATTGAGCTGTCTCTCCTGCCCTCATGAAAGAGTTCTGACCTCTAGAAGTGTACGAAAATAATCCTGTATTGTTGTGAGTCACTAAATTTGTAGTAATTTGTTCTGGTGGAAATAGAAAGCCAATACAATGGTTTTCAGAGGAAAATGTAAACGTCAAGCTAATTAAAGCCAGGTGCTATCATTTTAAAAAAAAGTTGAGCTGGGTTCGATTCCTCCGCCCCTCTCGGAGAGCCTGGCAAGCAACTGGAGTATCTTGCCCGTGCGGCTGAGCCTGGCAAGCTAACCATGACATATTCAATATGCCAAACACAGTAACAACAAGTCTCAAAATGGAGACGTTACTGGGCCCACTCGAACAAATCGATGAACAACGGGAGACAGTGTTTGTTTTTTAATTTCAACTACATTTACAGGTTATTTTCTAACTCTGCTGAAATGCGTATATTCAGAGTTTCTATAAATGGTCATATAAAAACTGAAATTCACCAAGGCAAAACATTCAAAAATTAACTCACCTACTTAATTTCTTTAGAATGTGTTGCAAGATGTTAAATAAACTTGAAATCCTATTAGTGAGAAGAAAGACATGTAAAGTTAGATGACAAATTATAAAAAGCCTGACCTTTTTTTATGGATTTTTTTTTATTGAATCACCATGGGATACAGTTACAAAGCTTTCATGTTCGAACACCCATCCCTCCACCAGTGCACATTTTCCACCACCATATGTCCCCAGTCACTCCCACTCTCATTCTACCCTCTCCTTGCCTCTATGACAAATAATTTCCCCCACACTCTCTCTCTACTTTTGGGCATTATGGTTTGCAATTCAGATACTGAGAGGCTATCACATTTGGTCCTTTAATCTACTTTCAGCATACACCTCCCATCTCGATTGATTCCTACAACCATCATTGATTTAGGTATCCTGTCTCTATTCCAGCTGCTTTCTCCCCTAGCTCATGAGACAGGAAAAGTCTTACTCTTTTTTTTTTCTCTCACTTTTTGAGTAACACCCGGTATTGCACAGGGGTTACTCCTGGCTCTGCACTCAGGAATTACTCCTGGCGACGCTCAGGAGTATCAGATGGGATGCTGGGAATACGGGATGCTGGGAATTGAACCCAGTTGTGTGAAAGGCAAACACCCTACCTGCTGTGCTATCGCTCCAGCCCCAAAGCCTTACTCTTAATAATGATCACTCCTCAGGAAGAGAAATGCCCTCATTAATAAAGAGAACAATAGATGATCTAATGATAAACAGAATACAATGCCTTTATCCTGTTGGATTGCATGGTAAAATTTACTTATTAATTACCACCACTTCTGATTTCTCTTCAAAATAATAAAGTACTGGACTTAAAGTAAGTTTTGCCTTTTCATATAATGGAGAACTGCAAAGGTTCTTATAAATGGAAAGCCAGAAAAGTCAATAACTGGACAGGGCAGTTAAAGGGAAAGAACACAGACCACCCAAAACTCATCTATTATTTCTTTGTTTAAATATAGTTTTACCTGGGAAAGGCAGAGCTGGTGGTGGGCAGTTTAGGATCAACTTTTACTTTCAGGAATGGAAAGAGAAACCCCTCCCTGCCATAAGCAACTCTCCTCCCAGAGATGGCGGCCTGCCGGGAGGCACGCGGGAAGTGCTGGGCTCACAGCACGCAGCCACATGCCTCAGCACAGAGGAGTGTAAGTCCAAGCAAAGTTCCAGTTTGAACCTGGGAACCTTCAAAAACTGTGTGAGCCCCAATGCTGGACCTTACACATGGTTAAAGAACTAGGGTAAAAGGACAATTTCTCCAGTGAGGGGTTAGTCTGACCTAATGAACCACCTAGCTTGGCCCTGGGCTGAGTGCAAGTTTCCTTGGACACAAAATGGAGATAATGCTCTCCTCAGTTCTTCCTGCAAAGCTGTGAGGCACAGATTAGATAACGTTCAGAATAAGTTACTGTCCTGTACACTCAGGAATTTGAGGTTCTGTGTAATATGAATCAACCTCCCTCTGATATCCAGTAATGCGTGGTAGAGGGCAAGTTTTAGAATCAGGATGTGCAAATGACTGCAAGCAACTCTGAAAGCTGAGGACACTGTCTAAGACAAACCGATTCTCCCCATCCTGAGAGTCAACCCTGCTCCCAAGCAGCTCGAAGCTACTCTGCTCTTCCAGCCTACGGGTCTGAGATGGGAAGAAGTGGTTCCATTAACTCTCTAGCTGATCCAGAGAGGAAGGGGTTATTCCAGATGCATCATAAAACGGGAGAAGGAAGCTTCAACAACAAAAAGATTAAATCTTTGAAGTACATGACTTAACCATAACCAGTATATAGCAATAGAAAAAAAATATTGTATTAATCATATTAATAATATTTAAAGTTCCACTGCAAAGTAAATGTTCTTACTTGAGAGCTGAAAGCTTTACTTTTAATTCTTCTGAGGTAATTTCTTCTAGCAGGAAAAGCTTCGAAGTAAATGCATCAATATGTCCTAAAATAAAACATAAAAAATCTCTGTAAAGATATTTTTGCAAAACCAAATTTATCCATTAAGGAGCCATACACTTTAAAGAGAAGGGAAATGCACATTCTGCCAAGTTTATTAAAGCTGTAGTTTAAATGGCACTAAGTCAAATTATCTTTAAAAAAATAGTGATTTTAAGGTATTTGCAAAACACAAAAAAAGACTTTTCCTGTGTGCACAGTAAACATTGGTCTGTGAATGGCAGTTTATGAGAAGCTGCTGGGGTCTCTGAGAAACCGCATGAGGCTTGATCCTCAGATCCTCAGCACAGGTCCGATCTGCTCCCCACAGTTCTTTGTAAGAAGAACATCATGGTCACTGTCCTCCTGTTGTTCATCGATTTGCTCGAGCGGGCCCAGTAACTTCTCCATTGTGAGACTTGTTACTGTGTTTGGCATATCGAATACGTCATGGGTAGCTTGCCAGGCTTTGCTGTGTGGGCTAGATACTCTCGGTATCTAGCCAGGCTCTCCGAGAAGGGCAGAGGAATCGAACCCGGGTTGGTCAGGTTGGTCACATGCAAGGCAAATGCCCTACCGCTGTGCTATGAACTGTTAAAATATTGCTGTTTCTAATTCTGATTAAAGTTGACTTTGTGGGGCTGGAGCAATAGTACAGCAGGTAGGGCGTTTGCCCTGCACATGGCCAACCCAGGTTTGATTCCCAGCATCCCATATGGTCCCCTGAGCACCGCCAGGGGTGATTCCTGAGTGCAGAGCCAGGAGTAACCCCTGTGCATCGCTGGGTGTGACCCAAAAAGGAAAAAAAAAAAGTTGACTTTGTGTGTGTGCTGGGGGAAGTGGCGGCACATCTAGCAGTGTTGGACGTCTATTCCTGGCTCTGTGCTTGGGGATCACTCCTAAGTGTTGCTGTGGGGAGGCATCTGTAGTGCAACGTGCTTGAACTTTGGTCAGCCACATGCAAGGCAAGCACCATATCTCCTGTACTATCTCTCTGGCCCCTTAAAGTTCAATTCTCCTGGAGACCATTTTCAGAGAATGATGTGCCTGTTAAGGTAAATTAAAGTCAGATTTGTACCTGAGTTTGGACATTCTCTACACATCTCTAAGGTACTCAGTCACTACAGTAGCATTCCATGATAAAGAGCCAACTTACTTCACAATACCCAAGATATAAAAATGACTTGTCCCCATCGATATAAGAATGGGTTATTATTCAGCAACAAGAGAGACAGGAAATCCAGCTACTTGAATCAACATGGATGGAACTTGAAGGTACTGTACTAAGGGAAATAAGCCGGATAGAAAGAGAACGTTCTCTCACAGAGTGTCACTTATGTGAAATCCAAGAGGAAAAAAAAAACAACAACTCAGAAACAGTAAAACAAGTGGCTGCTAAGGACGGGGTTTGGAGGAAGAGGGAGATGCTGATAAAGGGAGCCAAGTGGGGCCAGTCAGCTAGCTCAGTGGCAGACCACATTTTCTGCACGAGACCCCGACTCTGATCAGCAGCATCATCACCAAGGGGAGAAAAGGCAGGTACAAACTTAGAAACTGACCAAAGAAGGAAGGTCAGAGAAACTAGCAGAACATGGTGATTAGAGCTAGTAACCATACAGAATTGAAGTATGAGAGAAACTTTAAATTTTTACTTAACAATTTTATCAATCACTCCTTAATACGGTTGAGAATATATTTTAAAGGGTGGTACCAGAGATTGAATCCAGGGTCTGAAACACATGAGGCACATAATCTATCACTGAGTTTATAATTACTTTGTAGGGTCAGGAGTTCCCCAGAGGTTCTTGTGGTGTGGGGCACATTCCTGGTGACAATCAGTCTGGTGATTCAGTTTGAACCAGCAATGTCCTGTTGCGGGAGGCCAGGGGTGTGTGTGTGTGTGTGTGTGCACGTGAGCGTATATGTGCACATACATACAGGTGCACAGATTATCAGGGATGGAACTCAACACATGCATTTTAGCCCTCTGAGCTATCTTCCTGAGTCCATGTGGCTTATTTCCAATCAAAGCAAGCCCTAACAGCTCCCACTATCAAAACAAAAATTCAATACCAGCTTTTTACAGGCTAAGTCTAGAATTCCCAAAATCAAACATCAAGAGGACACAAGGACACTGCTATTTTGAACAAAGTATTGTGGGAGTTAAGAAGATAATAGATTGGATAAGGTGCTTTGCCTTGCTCATGGCCGACCTGGGCTCGATTCCTGGCATCGAATATATTATCCCCAGAGCCACTTTGGAGTTACTCAATCCCTGAGTCTGGTGTAAGGCCTGAGTACCTTCCCCTCCCCAACCCCTCCCCCCGGCCTGCAGTCCCCTCCCCCCCCAGCTCCCACAAAGTACACAAAGTACTGAGTAATGCCTAGACAATGAAGTTGACTGAAACCTACAGGGAGACCCTGAAATGTTACGAGAGTGATGTAAATACAGCGCTGAATCAAACTCTGCATCCCAAAGTCGACATAACAACTAGCCTGAAACTACGATAGAATCACTCACTGATGCAGAACAGAAGGCTGCTGTGTTTGTGGTACCAAGGGCTGAACCCAGAGTGTTTTATTGTTTTCAGGGCCAATGTTCACTTATCAAGACCCACGACCTGGAAAGCTGACACAGAACAACAACCTGCCCTACAGCAACTTTTCATTTCTTGGCCACTTTCATGTCACTGACTCTGTCTTTATGAAACAAAGTCAAAATATTTTCACCAGATGTCTTTCTTCAAAGACAACAAATTGTTTTCTACCCACGCCTGCCTATTTCCTATGCTGACTTTTAGTTTTGCCTCTACATTTCTAACATTTCAGTACACAGTAATATTTCCAATAACAGACATTTTAATGGTTTAACAACTGCAGAGAGTAAGTACAATAAAATATCTCTAGGTATTTACTAGACAGACTTTTGAGAAGACTCAATCATTACTGTTTTAATGAAATTTCAAGGAAAAGTATGGTCTACATTAAGTTCACATAAAATGAACTGAACAGAGAGCATTATACTAAGTGCTCTGAGAGCTTACCTGTTCAGGTATTTCAGCAAGAAGGTGTGAATGAGTTAGGGTGGGCCTGAGATGTTTACTCCTTGGTTGCAGGGGCACCTGAGCAAGAGCTGGGTGGAAGAGCCCCAGGCACTCAGGCTAGGCTAGGAGGAGTCAAAGTGCCTTGCAAATACTTTTTATAAAGCCAAGGTAGAAAAGTACTTTTCATACAGTTAGATCTGTGTAAACATGTGTTCTCACATGTGAATACACACAGACACATCTTGCTTTGCATGCAGTGTGGGACTATAGCAAAAACAGTGCAAGCAATTTTAATAATTGATGCAAAATTATGACTAATCCATTAATTCTTTGTTCGGTCAGAGTATTATAAAATCTAATTATAAGTGTACCCTGAAACCACAATTTCTTTATCACCCTGTAACTTTTATTTTTTAATTTAATTTTATTTTTCCTGCTTTTTGGGTCAGACCTGGCGATGCACAGGGTTTACTCCTGGCTCTGCACTCAGGAGTTACTCCTGGCGGTGCTCAGGGGACCATATGGGATGCTGGGAATCGAATCTGGGTCGGCCACATGCAGGCAAAGGCCCTACCCGCTGTGCTATCTTTCCAGCCCTCACACTGTAACTTTAAAAGCACTGCCTGCTACCTTATATCCTTTTGGTCACTGCCACTCTCCTCACTCCCATGTTTAGGTTCGCCTTCACTGAGCTCCTCGCAGAATGTCAGTATTTCCACCATCTCACTTCCAGAATTTCACTTTTTGCTTCTTTCCTGTGCTTTGACCTTTGCTAGGCCATTCCCTCTTTTAATTATCTACTGCAGTAACACGTCACGTACTTAACATTGGAAAAACACAACTATACACTCTGCTTTCTAGATGTGAGATCTATAAGTGAAAGGGGCCCGGTGACCGATCACTGCAGCCTTTGAATGAAGGGACATGGTTCCTGGCCCTGATGTGCAGGTCACTAAAAAGCAATCTGCGAAGTGATGAACAGACGTAATGCTGGTACTTGATGCAACAACTCATAGTTAACATCATTTCATAACTTATGTCTGATTCTATCACAAACTATGCAAAGCAGGAAGTGTGTGTTCACTGTACGGAATGGGTATGTATCAGAGTGGGGTTTCTTATGCCTTTTCCAATTATGACCAAGTTCCTTTGTTGTTTCTGGGTCACTTCAGGTGGTGTGCAGAGCTCCCCGAGATCAAACTGGGCCGCTGGCATGCAAAGCACATTCTCTGAGGAGAAATTACCTTACAGCTCCTTAGAGTTATACGGAGAAACTACTGTATAGCTTCTGGAAATCTTGGGAGTCATGGAATTGGGCTGGAAAACTGACAAAGGAATGTTTAATGAAAAGGATCAGAGGCTAGCAAAGCCTGAGGAAAGCTAAGAAATGGCAGTGGGTGAATCCATGAAACAGAGAACTCAGACTGCCAGCAATCTTTGGGTTCCAGTTTCAAGATCTCAGGTTCAATCGCAGGCAATCCATATGGTTCCCCGAACACTGCCAGAAGTGATTCCTGAGTGCAGAGCCAGGAGTAACCCCTGTGCATCACTGGGTGTGACCCCAAAATTTCTAAAAAATAAAAAAAAAAGGAAAATGAAAGGAAAAAAATAGCTATATGCTACAAAAACAACCACAAAACTACTATTCTGTGCGTAAGAGTTTCCTGATCTGGCACCAAAGTGGTGCCCAAAACACTGGAGCACTTGCTTTCCATGGGAGGGTCTCAGGTTTGATCCCTGGCACCACATGGTCTCTGAGTACCGCCAAGCAGGAGGAGCTCCTGAGCATCACCACCAATTACGGACCCCAAACCAAGCAACAGCAAAGCATTTTTGGATCCTACTCAATATCAAAGTGTTAAAGCTTGTATTATTATCATTATTAATATTTTTAATTTTGGCATTACATCCTGGTGTAGTGCTTGGGGCATGAGGGGTGGGGGTGGGGTTCACTTTTGGTGGG